GTTCCTTACATGGAGACTGACATCCTGAGTATCTTTTAGTACTCTCTGCTTATATTTAGAGGGGTGGCACAAAGGTTAGCACTGCTGCCTTAGAGTTCCAGGGACCCAGGCTCGATTCTAGCCTTGGGCAACTGTCTGTGTGGAGTTTGCACATTCTCTCCATGTCTTTGCGGGATTCCTCCCACAGTCCAAAGTCGTGCAGGTTAGGTGGATTGACTAAATTGCCCAGATTTTCAAGGGATGTGCAGGCTAGGCGGGATTAGCCATGGGAAATGCAGGGTTATAGGGATAGGATAGGGTAAGAGGGTGAGTCTAGGTGGGATGTGCAGGCTAGGCGGGATTAGCCATGGGAAATGCAGGGTTATAGGGATAGGATAGGGTAAGAGGGTGAGTCTAGGTGGGATGCTCCTCAGAGGGTTGATGTCAACTTGATGGGCTGAATGGTGTGCTTCCACACTGTAGGGATTCTATTATTTCAGGATCGCAACCTCTCCAATAATATCTAGATACATCACAGCTTGATACAGCAACTGCTCTGCTCAAGACCATAACAAACTAGACAGGGTTGTGAACAGAGCCCAGTCCATCATTGATGCCAACCTTCCATCCATTGCCTCCATCTATACTTCTCACTGCCTCAGGAAGACAGCCAACATAATCAATGACCCCTCCAACCCCAGTTATAACCTCTTCTGTCAGGCAGAAGATACAAAAACTTAAACACACATACCAACAGATTCAAGAACGGCTTCTTCACTGCTGTTATTAGACTTCTGAACGGACTTCTCAAATTTAAAGATCTCACTCTTTGTGCACCTTCTCTGCAGCCATAATACTGTAATCCTCGCTCTGTTCTATTACCCTAATGCCCTTTGTATGGTGTGATCTGCCTGTGCTGCACACAAAACAAAACTTTTCATTGTGCCTAGGTACATGCGACAATAATAATCAAACTGAATCAAAATATAGCCTTCAGTCTTCAATTTTATTGAATAAGAGCTTTCTTTTCCCAATGCAACATTTGAAGGAGATGGTAGTACAATGGGAATGTCACTGGATGTGTGATCGAGTGGGTCCAAACTAAACAACCACTCAAAGTCAGAGCTCACAACAGCAACTGGAGGAATTTAACTTCAGTGAATAAATCTGAAATATCCCTACCTCTGAGTCAAGAACCCCAGGTTCACATTACATGTGCTCCGGAGGTAAGATGACATCTCTGAGTAGGTTGATTCACCAAAAAGTTCTCAAAGTATAAAGCTAGTCTCAGTGATGGTGACCATGACAACTATTGCGGATTGTTGTAAAAACCCATCTGGTTCATAATTATCTTTGGGTAATGAATTCTGCCTCCTTACCTTGCCTGGCCCACATGTGACTCCAGACCCACAGCAATGTGGTTGACTCTTAACTGCCCTATGAAACGGCTGAACAAATCACTCAGTTCAAGGGCAGTTAGGGATGGCCAAGAGTTGGCCTTGCCTGCTTTTAGAAAATTCTGGCAGTGACTACAAAAATAGCAACCCTGGTAGAAGACAGAGAAGATATGCCGGAAATCGTGTAAATCTTAGAAGTCCAGTAAGTATCAGGTAACTCAAAAAAAGGACTTGCATTTATCTGATGCTTTGAAGTGATTCACCACTGTAGAGAGGGAGACACAGCTGTCAATTTGCACACAGCAAGTTCTGACAAACAGCAATGAGATAATCAGCACAGAATCCACTTTTAAGATATTGATTCAGGGGATAAATATTGGCTATGACACCAGAGACTCATCTCCTGTCCTTAACTTCATGGAAACTTTTATGCCCACCAGAGAAGGTAGAAAGGGACTCATTAATCTGAAATAAATTGTCATTAATAGAGAAATAGTACAGGAGAGATTAATGGGATTAAAAGCTAACAAATCCCCTGGACTTTACGACCTAAATCCTAATGTTTTACAAGGAGGTATCCATAAAGACAGTGAATATATTGGATTTGATCTTCTGAAAGTCAGGAATGGTACTAGCCCCCATAGATTCTGTGAAAGACTAAAATAAATATAAGTTAACTATTACAGAGGGAGAGGGGAAAATAAAATCCAACTTCAATCAGCAGGAAAAAGCTAAAATGTCGAATTAGGGACCTGCGAACAGCACACTTAGAAAATCATGGCATGGATTTATGAAAGGGAAATAATATTTGACAAATCAGTTAAGCGTTTTTGACGTTATTAAAAAGATATCTATGATTGCATTGTGTTAAGAATCTAAGAAAAATTCACTGAGTTGCCAGACACACTGCCATTACATGGAATTTAGGCAGTATTTTGACATTATAATATCTGTTTTCTGTTCATTAATAAATCGTCAATTTGAGAGTAGGAATAAATAGGTCATTTTCAGATTGACATCCTGTAACCAATGGTTTTATCACAAAGATCAGTATTTGGGCCTCAGAAATTTACAGTCTACATCATAAATTCAGATGAGGAGTCTGAGTATTATTTCACTACCATTGCTGGCGTTACAATATGATGTGGGAAATTAACCAGGCAGAGAGGCTGCAAATGGATTGATACAGATTAAATGCATCCGTAAAATGTGGAATATAACACTGAGAAACATGAAACCTTCCACTTGTGTAGGAAAAATGCAAAAGTAGAATATTTTTTAAATGGCAAGACAATGTGTTTGCATTCAGAGGAACCCAGTTATATCCGTGCAAGAACCACAAAAAGTCCATATGTAGGTATTGCAAATCAAGCAGTTATGATGGCAAATAGTTTAAAATGAACATATATACAAACATACAAATTATGAGCTGGAGTAGGTCATTCATAACCTCATGGCTTCTCGACTATTCAGTAAGATCATGGCTAGAGAAATGGTCTTTATTACAAAAGGATTGAAGTATAAGAGTAAATCTATCTTACTACAATTGTAGACCACATATTGAGCACAGTGTGCTGTTTTAGATTCCTCATCAAGGGTAGGATACATTTGCCTTAATAGTTTGCTGGACTGATTCCAATGAGGAGAGATTGCATAAACAGGACCTAAATTCCTAATTTTCTCAGGATAGTGTTTCCCAAACGTTTTCCTACATTTTGATGCTGTGACATTGATGTGACTGAGGAACGAGAGAAGGAAGGGAGGGTGGTGAGGAAGGTGATCATGGTATTCAAAGAGCAACAATTCAAAAATGATCCCTGCACTGTAGCCAACAAAGGAAGTTCAGAATTGTATGAGATTCACAGAAAAGACCTACAAAGTTGCCAGAAATAGTAATACTGCGTTTTAGAAAATGCATCAAAAAAGGGCCAAGAAACTGATAAGGAAAGGGAGAACAGAATATGAATGTAATTGAGCCAAAAAATCCCCACATAAAATAGAGATCTAAAGGCATTGAATGGAAGTGGCTGGTTAAATGAATGTAGATCCATTAAAGGCAGAAGCAAGAGGTTTTATGGAATGCAAACAGAAATTGCTGGAGAATCTCAGTAGGTCTGGCAACATCTGAAGAAGGGGACAAAGCAAAGTTAGTGTTTCAAGTCCACTGGCCCTTCATCACTGATCTCCAGTGATGACTCTGCTATTCTGATGAAGCGTCAATGGACTCCAGATATTAATCATGCTTCTCCCTCCACAGGCAATGAGTTTCTTCAGCAGTCTCTGTTTGCGTTTCAGATTTGTGAGAAGGATAGGTAGGAGGGGAGGCTTGGAAAGCAGAGGGGCCTGACAGATGTGGTGTGGGGGTGGGGAGGTGGTCTGTGCAGGATGGGTGGGATGGGGTAGGGTTCTGCTGTAGGAGCAAATTACTGCAGATGCTGGCATCTATCCTGAAAACAAATAGTGCTCAAAATCGCAGCAGGTCAGGCAGCATCCATGGAGAGAGAGTAAGCTCATGTTTCGAGTCTAGATGACTCCTCTTCAGAAATGATGGGTTGTCCTCAGGGCGTGGGGGTGAGAGCAAGGCCAGAAGGTCGTGACACAAAGGTGAGAGGCTCTTTCCTCCACCAGTTTGCAGGGTCTGTAGAATGCGATTATCAGGCCTCAGACCTCATTTCCTTGGCCCACACATGCCAAGTCTTAGCAAGGAAAGGAAGTCAGTATGCTAGTGTTGGTGAGCCATAACACTTATTCCAGGGTTGATCCACCTGAAGGAAGACTCCACAGTTACCGTTGGTGTCTCACAGGAGAGGGAGGTTCCAACCCCTCTCATTTGGGAACCCTTGCCTTGGAAACCAAGAAGAATGAGAACTGAATTCTATAGGTTTTTGACAGGGTAGATACTGCAAGGATGTGCACATTGGTTGGAGATACTAGAACCACAGGCTCGACTCTCCCAATAAGGGCTTGACCCTTTGGTACTGAGATGAGGAGAAATGTCTTCACTCAACAGCTGGTGAACCTTCAGAATTCTCCAGAGTTGTTGTGTTGACTTGGGGGCTGAGGGGTGACGTCATAGAGGTTTATAAAATCATGAGGGGTATGGGCAGAGTGAGTAGCCAAAGTCTTTTCCCTAGGGTGGGGGAATTTAAAACTAGAAGGCATAGGTTTAAGGTGAGAGGTGAAAGATTTAAAGGGACCTGGGGGGCAACTTTTCCATGTAGAGGGTGGTGTATGTATGGAACGAACTACCAGAGGAAGTGGTAAAGGCTGGTGCAATTATAACATTTAAAAAACATTTGGACAGGTGCATGAATAAAGAAACGTTTAGAGAGAAATGGGCCAAATGCAGAGAAATGGGACTAGTTCATTTTAGGAAACCTGGTTGGCGTGGTTGAGTTAGACCAAAGGGTCTGTTTCCATGCTGTATGACTCAATGACTCTATGCTCGAGATTTGCCTACTATGAGAGTAAAGTGACATTGCCAAAGAGTGGGAAGGTAGAGCTGAGGTGGGAGATCAGCCTTGATTTTAATAAAGAATGGATCAGGTTTGAAGGGCAGAATGGCCTGCTGCAGCTCTTATTCCTTATGTCCCCCTGAGAATATCGAGGAAGTGGTTGTCTTACCCTGCCCACGAGCACCGGGTCTGGGCCTGTGTACTCTTCTATAACAAAGAACTGATTCCACACCCAACCCCTCTTGGATCTGTGAAGCACTTGGCCTTTGACACCGAGTCCATGACGAGATCGAGTTGACACCTGGGAGCTTGTGGAATTTCTCATGAGGGCGGAGTGACTCCAGTGGACCATGCTCAAGCATGCCAGGAAACAAGGCAAATAAAAGTCTCGCCTCATCTTGCTTCAGATTGGCTTTGTTTTTGGTCTGTTGAGTTGAGCTCAATTGTCAGCCGGGACTTGGGAAGGTCCAATAGCCACTGAATAGCCCTAACCCCAGAGTGATCAGGAGATCTGCCGTCAATGCCTCTTCATTGGGATGCCTTACTTAGTAGATCATTGTCAGGCTGCAGGGTGGGCTGTCCCAACTTTATTACCTACAAAAAGAAAAAGAGATCAGATTAACAAATCTTCCCTGAAGGGGCAGCAGTTTAATCTTACATTCTATAATGAACTGAAATGTAACACAGAACATGTTCTCCTTCTGAGTTGAGATCACTAATCCAAACACAAACAGAGCCACAACATCAGGGTATAACAGCACAGACTGCGTGGTGAGAATAATAGCAGGATCTTTCTAATGACGAGGCTCAGACAAGAATCTCTGTGGTCTGCAAATGTGCAGTTAAATGCCGAAATCAGGAAGCTCCAGCTGAGATCCCATGTCCTGCTAGCTGCTTCACTAACAATGGCATGGTGGCTCAGTGGTTAGCACTGCTACCTCACAGCATTAGAAACCTGGGTTCGATTCCATCCTTGGGCAACTGTCTGTGTGGAGTGTGCATGTTCTTCCTGTGGTTGTGTGAGTGCTCTGGTTTCCTACCAAAGTCTAGTGGTGGGATGGCCATGGTAATTATGGGGATTGGGTCTGAGTGGGATTCCCTATTCAAAGGTTGATGCAGGCTTGATGAGCCAAATGACCTCTTTCCACACTGCAGGGACTTTATTCTCGCGCAAAGTCTGGTCAAGAGGCTTGACTTTGAACCACAACGGACAAAGTTATGATACAAACACAGATTATCTTGGAGAAGTGAACATTTCGAGTTCAGTATGACTCTTCTTCAGAACTCAGAGGTTCTGATGAAGGGGCACTAGGCTCAAAGCATTAACTCTGTTTCTCTCTCCACAGATGCAACTGGACTTGCTGAGTTTCTCCAGCAATTTCTGTTTTTGTTTCAGATTTCAAGCACTGCAGTATTTTACTTTTATACCAAGTTACAATATGGAGCCATTTGATATGCACTAATCATATCAGAAAGAAGTATTTAGTCTTGTTATTACATAATAAGAACAAACAAACTCACCAACACTAAAAACCTATTATTTATTAGCATGGATTCTCATTCCTTCAGATTTTAATTATTGTTGGTGATTTAAAGAAATTTTTGTTTAAATGCATTTTTAAAATTTTTGCTTTCCATCTTGTCTCTCTCTCACTTTCTTGATCTTGTTTCCCTATTCCAGTGTTTTCGCTTTCTGTACATGACTTCAAAGAAGTAGCTGTTCTCACTTACAATTCCTAGTTGAGATGCAGCAGTCCTCAGTAAGAATATTTCAAAGTGACAGATTAAGGAGAAATGGTTATTTGCTCTGTTGATACATGCTGCACGTCCCTTTTAGGGGTTGTACACTGATTTGACTCTAAATCTTGTGAAGTTCCAGCAGAAAAGTCCACACTTCATGAGCAAATGCAACTGCCATACAAAGGCAACACTTCTCATCCATTGTTGATTACAAAAACTAGGCTCTTGATAGTCAACTGAGTCTTGAACAATTTACACACACACACACACACACACACACAGGGAGTCACACACACACACAGGGAGTCTCACACACACACACACACACACACACAGGGAGTCACACACACACACACACAGGGAGTCACACACACACACACACACAGACACAGGAATGCAGGCATGTGCGGCTGGCGCATATACACACAAAGGAATGTGCATGCGCATGCATGCGCGTGCGTGCACACATACACACACACACACACACACACACAGAGACACACACACACACACAGGAATGCACATGCATGCACGCACACACACATACACACAAAGGAATGCGTGCAAATATAGAATCACAAGAATATGCCCACACCTCACCTCTACGTGCACTCATAGAAACACTCAGGCAGACACACAGAAGAAACATCCAGGACTGATGGATTGGCTATCTTGCTATTAATTCATCTGTAAAGTCCTTGGGACATGATTAATTTCACAACATCAAGCCATCAAAGGAAATGTTTTCCCTTCACACCAGTGGAATTGATACAGACAATGAGATAAATGTGGTAGAGAAGGCACTGAAATTAAAGAATGTCCATTTCTCCTTCTCCAGTGACTTTCTGGGAAAACTAAAACAAAAGCAAGCTTTTTTCCATTGAGCAAATTGAAATGAATACAGTCATTGCCTCCAGTTTTCTGAGAGTTGTTCAGAGGAGAAAACTGCTGTATTCAATTGTGCCACGAGATCTTTTGCAGCTGCCTTAGAGAACAGTTGTGGGCCTTGGTTTATCATCTAATCCAAAAAACAGCACCTCTGACTGACCAGCACTCTGTCATTACCGCACTGAAGTCTGAACTGTTGTTGTTAAATTCCATCACCCTGTTTTCCAGCCCCTTAAAAGTTCTCAAGGGTGACTGTATTCCTCCAATTCTGACCTCTAATGCAACCCTGATTTTAATTGTTTCACCACTGGTACCTTTGCCTTCTCTTCCCCAGTTCCTGAGTTTGGGAATTCCCTCCTTAACACTCTTTTCTCTTCACACCCTTTTTGTCCTTAAAGTACCCAAGGCTTGTCTTCTGAATAGAGATTGAGAAGCTTAGGTTTATACTCTCTGGAGTTTAAAAGAACGAGAGGGAATCTAACTGAGGACTGCAAGCTGCTAAAGGAATTGACACAGTAGACATAGAGAGTTTGTTACTTCATGTGGGGCACTCTAAATTGAGAGGTCATAGTTTTAGGGTAAGGGGGAGCAGATTTAAAGCAGATGAGGAGAAATTACTTCTCTCAAAGTGTCGTGAAACTGTGGAGTTCACTGCTCCAGAGTGCGGTGGATGCTGGGACTTTGGGTAAATTTAAGAGGGAGATAGATTTTTGATCAGTAACAGGTTTAAGGGTTATGCAGAGTGGCCAGGAAAATGGAGTTGAGGCCGCGATGAGATCAGCCATGAAGGGCTGAATGGCCTGCTCCTGTTTCTAGTTCTTATTACATATTCCTCAAAAGTAAACTCTTCAATTCGGTTTTAGCATCCTGTTCTAAAAACTCCTCCTGTGTTGACTGCTGATTGAAAGCAGTTGTGAGGTGACATGGGGGTTTTCATTATTTTAGAGCTGTCATATAAATATGTGCTGTTGTTATTGTATGATTCCCCCTTTAGCTCCATATCGACAATGTGGAGATTCAAAAAAAAGTAATCTATACTTGTCAGGACTACTTCACAAGGCCATCCCTTTAGTTTGGCTGTTTACTGATTTTTGCATTACTCTATAAGAAACCAAACAGCTTTGAATACTCCTGAGGACAACTGGAGAAAATCTCTTCAGTTAGAGGTGTGGGGATTACAGGAGACTCACAAACAACTGTCATTTTATGGATTACAAAACCAGGGCAGGTAAATGGAATCAAGAGACAGGTCACCCTTGATCTTATTCAGTGGTAAGCTAGACAAGAGAAGCTGCATAAAATTAATGATTTTGGCTTTATTAAGTAAGCGAGGAATTACATTTTGTTTAATTATGGTTGATTGTAAAACAGCTCCAAAAAGGAAGAAGATAATATGGATTGAATCAAGAGTAAGGTCATGATTTTGTGGTTGTTTTTACGGCTCAGGCTAACATATGCAAGAATGCCTTAAGGTAAAAAAAACCTCAAAGACACAGCTATGTTTTAAAATGTTTAATGTTTGTAACGTGAAGGTATGCAGCAGACTTATGGGTATATATGTATACAGGTGTAAATGTATACTATGCTGGAATTAGGCTGTATTTTGTCATTTTGTACTTCTTTGGATGTTTTGAGATGAATCAATTGGGACAGTCTGGATGATAGTTAATTGTTCCCTAGCTTTCAAGATTAGAAGGCATATTTTTCAGGTGAGAGGATATAGATTTAATAAAGGACATATGGGGCAATTTTTTTTTACACAGAGAACGGTTGGTGTGTGTGTGGAATGAACTTCCAGAGGAAGTGATGGATGTGGGTACAGTTACAATGTTTAAAAGACATTTGGAGAAGACATGAATAAGAAATGTTTGGAGAGATATGAACAGGGGCAGGCAGGTGGGACTAGTTTAGTTGGGGATTATGGTCGGCATGGATTGGTTGGACTGAAGGGTCTGTTTCCGTGCTGTATGACTCAATGACTCCAGTTGGAGACAGCCTATGGAATTGGTAAGCCAAAAGACATAAGCTGTTACTAAAGGGATGATCTTATAATGTGAATGGCATTGAACAGGAGGCAGTGAAAACTAGTAAGTTCACCAATACTTTGAAAGAAACTAATCAAGACTGGGCACATATTATTTTGCCAATTTAAGGTTGACAAAAGTCAGAATGCCTCTGGTGGGTATTGGCCAGTAAAAGTGATTCAGTCAACAGAACAAGGGAGCTGTGGCCTGTCAAACAGACTCGCTGATATTTTGAAGTGGATCAAACACTACTCTTCTGAAGTGTTATTTCTTTTGTACTTGTTATGATAAACTAAATAAATTCTGTAAATATGGAGTCACAGGTAAACAGGGTCGTAAACAGGAGTTTTGTGCGCGTGTCTTTATTGGTCAGTTCATTGAGTACAGGAGTTGGGAGGTCATGTTGTGGCTGTACAGGACATTGGTTAGGCCGCTATTGGAATACTGCGTGCAGTTCTGGTCTCCCTGTTAAAGGAACGATGTTGTGAAACTTGAAAGGATCCAGAAAAGATTTATAAGGATGTTGCTGGGGTTGGACAGTTTGAGCTATAGGGAGAGACTGAATAACCTGGGGCTATTTTCCCTGGAGTATCAGAGACTAAGGGATGACCTTACAGAGATTTACAAAATCAAAAAGGGCATAGATAGGGTGAATGGCAAAGGTCTTTTTCCCAGGGTAGGGGAGTCCAAAACTAGAGGCCATAGGTTTAAAGTGAGAGGGAAAAGATCTAAAAGGGACCTAAAGGACAACATTTTCACACAGAGGGTGGTCTGTGTATGGAATGAGCTGCCAGAGGAAGTGGTGGAGGCTAGTACAATTACAACATTTAAAAGGCATCTGGATGTGTACATGAATAGGAAGGGTTTAGAGGGACATGGGCCACATGCTGGCAAATGGGACGAGATTAATTTAGGATATCTGGTCGGCATGGACAAGTTGGA